GGGGCCGTCGTTTTGGATTGGTTTGCCATTGATATTGTCATGGAGATATCACCCTTTTACAATTATACGAAAGGCTGGCCGCGGCCAGCGATCATCGCCCGGAAAATTTCAGTGACATTCTGTCCAAAGCAGCACATACCAGGTTTTTTTGTAGCGAAAAAAGGGTCGACAAGAGCGTCGTGGTATTTGGTGGACTGAAGGCCGGACAGGCCACCCGATAGTTGGCTACTACGTGTGAGTCGAAGTAGACAAAATGGCATCGACCGAAATTACCTTTTTTAGATTTGGTAGTAGGAAGCATAGGCCTATCTTTGCTTCATTTTTTAAAACAATTCTGTGAAGTGTTTACAATGCTTTAATTTTCTGAGAGTACAAATAAAGACACGCTATTATATTTGTTTTATTGATTGCTATACCAACAGAATGCATGAAATAACCTTAAATAGATTTGGTAATATTCAGCATATATATTCATGACTTTTTACCTTTCTACAAAGTAGGCCCTATTCACAATGCTTTAATATTTTGAGAACATGGATAAAGACATGTTGTTAGTTTGATGCGTGTTTCTGTGGTAAATTAGTGTTTCCAGCTGTGTACTGAAAACATAACTTTTCTTAAGCAGGTCTTTTTTTTTTTGGACTGTTTTTTTTTCGCCCGCTCGCACCGATTTTGGGGTCCCCAGAGGATGTCATCCATAAAAATAAAAAAGTGTGGCCTTATGTATATCAGCAGCTAGTCTAATCGTAACTCGTACAGCCGCGATTTAAACAAGTAATTTTGTTGCTGGGTGGCTCCAACGATTTGACCGTTGGAACGCATGTGAAATAAAGGTCTTTTAATTATTTGATTTTAAACACACGCTGGCTGCATGGAATCTTCGACCTTACAAACTTTTCAAAATAATAAAAGCAAAGAGAATCAAGTGAAATTAAACACAAAAGGTATCATCAGGGGGCACCCGGATTTGAACCGGGGACCTCTCGATCTGCAGTCGAATGCTCTACCACTGAGCTATACCCCCTACATATTTCTTCTGTCATCTAAGGCAGACCTGGTATGTTACTGCTTATCAGGTTATTTATGAGGCTATCTACTTTGCATACCTTAACCGCCGGCATATCAATAATTATATTCACTTACAATAGGTATAGCGATAGCATCTTAGCAGATGTGCTCTTGTGATGCAGATCTTATCGTTACTCTCGCCAAGTTCAGATTTTTTTCATAAGTAGGTTTATGTGGTCGCTAGTAAATAAATGTTCTCCGTTTTTTTATTTTGGACAAATATCCTGACTATCCTCCCCATTTCATACTTTTCACACTTTACTTAAGAGGGGAGCGAGAAGATACTGCGGTTTTAGACATTTAGGAATGTGACCCGCACTTCTTATCAAAAGATAACAACATTTACAGACGTCATTTAATCAACCACACACATTTAATCAACTACTCAAGCTGGATGTGACTTCATGTTATATTTATATTTCTACTGAGAAAACCGTTTGTGCCTTCACTTTATTTTCGCTATCTGCAGTGTTTAAGGCCTCATGTACCGGTATACTTCACACTGCATACCTGTTTCTTATTTTTCATAATATAAATTTGTTTTGTCTTTTTTTTTATTTTAATTTCTTTACAGTTTAGCTTCTGTATGTAAGTGCTGGCGTGTTTCGGGTTGTACTCAGAGCACACGATTAAATTGAAATACCTTATTTAACTTTCCATGATAAATATTGTAAACCTCTCAACTGCGTCTGTTTTCCATTTTTTCATCTAAAGGACGTTTACACTGCCCAGGGAAATTATAAACAAAGGGTTGGGAAAAGAATTAACGAAATATAATGCTACTCATATAAATTGATAAACACTAATTTAAAAAATAATATATCTGGGTGAAAAATTAGTTATTTGTTGTTCTTGGTAATTAATTCAGTATTAAATGGGTCATTATGGTATACCTTCCAGCTGGCTGTTTCTACAAGGGTCAGTATTATTTGGAAGGACAGAAGTGGAACGACGGCTGCTCATACAACTGTATCTGTGAGGATGGCGCCACAGGACAATACAAATGCCTGGAAAGGTAAAGGAATAATGGCGCGCGCGTGTAACGTGTGTTTGCGCGTAGGCGAGTAGGCGTAGGCGAGTAGGCGCGTTTAGAGCCTATTTACTAGACCATTCCATCCCTTAAGTAAACCTTTCGACCCTTATATCAAAAGTTCGTATATTAAAAAAAGAACAAAATAATTACTCGAACTTAAATTATAATGTTAATTATAATCTTGTTGCTTATACAGTATTTTTTTTTTTTTTTTTTTGCAATCATAATTATTGTCCTCGAAATTATTGAAATCACAACAATTCTATCGCTTCGCTCTAATCCTGTATATATTTTCTTACACACCAGGTGCCCGAAGTTTGAGAACCTTCCTCCCCAGTGTAAACTAGCCGAAGATCCCAATGACCTGTGCTGTCAGTACCCCTCTTGTGTATGGACCGGGGGTGGCACCACCTTCACCGGTATTGGGGGCGTTAGTGGCTACATTCCAGTACCTATCTTTGGACCTGCTATAATTGGTATTGGAACCCCTACTAACCCAGGTGGTATCACGGGCGGCACAGGGACTGGAACTACGGGAACTGGAACTACTGGGACAGGAACAGGTATGGACAGGTGTTTACCGTAGATGTAATTTGTACATGTCTACCCTTTGATTGACATTATAACGCGTTTAAGATTCGTCCATTTTAACTTAGGGAGCCGTGGTCATTGGGATACTGCCCGCTTGTCACCTTGATTTCGTTTTCTGTTGTGTTTTATCACTGTAGGTTTTGTGTCATGTAGCTTTGAATTGAAAGATACTACACACACTGGTCAATAGAAGTGTCACTCTCTGAATCAAAGTAATTAAAGTAATAATGCCTGGTCTACTTATAATGTGACTACTGAGTATAAAACTGCTGTACCATGGAATTATATTGTTGGTCTTTTTGTGAAATTTGATGTTTATAAAATGATACCAGGAGCATATCATTCCACAGTCATTTGTCTCCACCAAAGTATTGGTTCAGTAGGGGTGACACTTCTATTGTCCAGTGTGTGTAGTAACTTTGATAATTTGTCTGTACCAGCATTGCAGATATTATTATTATTATTTCTTATTTCAGGCAAGTGTGTTTTTAAAGGCAAGCAATACTCAGAGGGCCAGACATGGAGAGACGGATGTGACCTGAGCTGCACATGCGTACACGGTGCCAGTGGCTCGTACCGGTGCTCAGATATGTAAGTGAGATATTTCCGAGCTCTGTAAGGTGTTGGGTACTTGACATTAATTTGCAACTCGGCCTTCATGAGTTAGGCTTTATTGTTGTAGCTAAAGTATATTGGCATTTTATCTGTAGCACTTCTACAATGATGTTGAATGATCTACCCTGTATCACGTTTTCATATCTATGGGATTTTGTCACACCGGTCTGTATATCTACCAGCAAACCAACAAGAGCTTATTATTAATATATTTATTTTATTGATATTAGATCTGAATCTGTTTGTGGCAGCTCTAAACTCATCTGAAAAACTCATCAGAAAAATATCATTTTAATATTTCAATTTTAAAAAGTTTTTATATTTTATCCTTGTGAAGTGCATTGATATGTACCGTCAAATAATACATGTAGAATGCTCTATGTAAGAAATTATTATTATTATTATCTGCTCCATATGAACAGTTGTCCTACCATCCCTAACCTACCACCCCAGTGTACCCTGGTCACGGATCCCAAGGAGGCCTGCTGTAAGATACCCCAGTGCAGCGGGACTGGCAGCGTGGCGACCACTGTCCAGCCAAGACCACAGAGTGGAGGTCAGTGCTTCTCAAATCCGGCCGTTTAAAGTAAATGTAATTTTGATATCGAGATAAAGGTATTTAAAGAAGTTTGATTTACAGTTGCTCTCTCCATGGCCTATGAGAAATGTGGCCGTGTTAATTGTACATTTTATTGTAAATGTCAATAATCCAGTCTTTTAAACGCAATCGAACACACTCTTTCTTCCCATATTTCAGATTACTGCTACTACAAGGGCCGCTATTACCAGCAAGGACAAACCTGGGATGACGGTTGCGCCAGTAGATGTCGCTGTGAAGACGCACAGGCCGGGTTCTACAGCTGCAGCAACAGGTGCCCCACGTATCCCAGCATTCCATACTGGTGCCGGTTGGTGACGGATCCCAAGGACAGCTGCTGCAGAGTGCCGTCATGTAACCCCGATTTGATCTCAGGGGGCGCGTCCGGATCGGGGCAGATTATTCCATCAATCCCTGGTGTGATCACCGGAACCGGAACTGCCACTGGGGCAGGGTCAGGTGGTAACATAGGTATGGTAACAGTGTTACACAGTTTGTTGAAAAACATAAGACAAATGAAAACGTTAAACGTTTGTTAGAGTTCAGTGAGGGTGATGTTTGTCGGATTTTAGGTTAGTTTTACTAAAATGCTTGCTACATTAAAGTGATGGAAGAACATGCATCGGATTATTTTTGAAATGGCAAATGAAAAAAGACAAACGTTCATTAAAAGTTCAGTGAAAGTGGTAGGGTCTACTTGTATTTGTCGGCTATTAGTTTGGTTTTCCTTAAATGCAAGTTTTAAGGAATATTTTAATAAAGGAAATCACTCCCAACACTTCTCAATATCTGTTGCAGTTGTTGAACAAAAGATTAAAAAAAATGTAAAAATGGATGTGGGGATAAAGGCATGATGTGGATATCATATATATATATAGATAGATAGATAGATAGATAGATAGATAGATAGATAGATAGATTTTTATATATATTTTAATATGATATCATTATATTAAAATATAATGATATACATTAAAATATATATATAAAAATCTATATATTTTAATATGATATCATTATATTAAAATATAATGATATATATTAAAATATATATATATAAAAATCTATATATTTTAATATGATATCATTATGTAATATAATGAAATAAGATAATTATATGGTATTAAACCATCACAAACCAAGAAGCCGTTGTCACTGCTCCTTCCCTCCCTCCCAAAATCATGTGCATAGATAATAGAGCCATTATTTTACTCTTATTTGCGTAGGTTACTGTATGTATGGTGGCAATAAGTATTACCAGTACCAGATATGGCAGGACGGCTGCGACTACAACTGCGAGTGTGTGGACAGTAACACCGGAAGTTACACATGTCAACAAAAGTGAGGCGCATACTTAATGATAGTAAATATAATTACTGCGCGCGTCTCTTAACTGTGGTACGACTGTAAGAAGCTGGGCTTAAGATAAGCCGTAATCATTATTAAATTGTTTATTTTTTGTACAAAGCAATTGTAAGTGCGTATGTAGAAGTCGAATAGAGCATGTGATGCTGTAATATGTATGTAATGAACTGACAGATATGCGTTTCCTTCACTTCTCCGTGGAAAGTAAATTTTTCCCCAAAGCAGGCAATACATCTTATCCAGATTTCACTGCATATGAACCGTGGTATATTTTTAACTTTATAGATGTTCACGCTACGCAAACTTGCCATCTGAATGCAAACTCATCCAGGATCCCAAAGATCAATGTTGCCAGATTCCTCAGTGTGATTTCAGCAGTAGAACGACACAGGCGGTGGTCACCGGGACAGGTAGGTCAATAGCACTGTGGCAGTGAGCCGCGGTGTCTTTCTTTCAAGCGCTCTTTTTAAGAAAACGTTCGACAATAATAATCAGCATTCAGGTGTCCGTAAGCATACTGAACCATTTAGACAATCTTGTCAACTGCACGCATGTTAACTCTTTTCATGCATTTTTTGTTATCTGTACGCAGTATATGCGGGTATAATTCTGTTTCATGTTAAAACAGTATCTCTACGCAGTTTTGTATAATTTTCCAGCAATTTTGGACAAAAACATGTTCAGTGCTATTTTTCATTATAAAGAAGTATATGTTTTATATTGGGCTCGTATTTGAGAGATCTTAATTTTCACAGGATATTCGTGCACATTCAACGGTGTCCGCTACAATCCCGGACAGTCCTGGGACGTCGGCTGCCAGTACCGCTGCACGTGTGAGAATGGTTTCTATAAATGCCAACAAAGGTATTTGAACCTAATTAGGGACGACTAGAAGCACTGGGCAGAGTTAAATCAACACTATGTCACCTTATTTAATAATGACATAGGACAAACATAATGACATAGCCTAGGACAAAGATTAAATGAATTGGACTATCGAAATTATGAATGTCGCTTGAATGTTGTTATCTTGATGACAAAACTATGGCATCGACAGCCAAAACTTCTGAGAATATGCTCCATGAATTTGACAAAACTTTAAAAAAGTATAATATCTGTAAGCCCTTTTCCTGAATATACATGTATCTTGTTATACACTGAAATATTGCAGTGAAACATAACTTAAGTATGGTATTTATACATAACAGGTGTTCTCAGTACGCGAGCCTGCCCGCCCAGTGTCGACTGGAACCAGATCCATCAGACACCTGCTGTATGCTGCCCACATGTGACTGGTCAGGTGGCACCCAGATCACGGCCACTGTGGCCACTATCACAGGTGTAAACCCGGCGCAGGGAGGAAACACTGGCGGAGTCACTGGAGTTGGAGGCAGCGTCCCTGTTGGAACCGTCAGTACCTTTGTCGGCATCGGCTCCTTCCCACCGGGCTACACCGGGTCCAGAAGTAAGGAAATATAATTTTCTAGATGTTCAGTGATTTACTGAACTGAACAGAGGTACCCAGTATAATGTTCTCTATTCTCCAAATAGAGCATTTACTTGAGGTTGTTATTTTAATAAAATTAGAACTATAGCAAGCATTCAGTATTCACTGAAAAGTGGTTTGTATATGTTGTTTTATGTGCAGTGCGTAAATTTATACAATGCCAGAATGCTCATTCACTAGTGCACATTTTGTGGGATGTCGGTGGGTATGGTGTCCATTATTAACCAATTATTAAAACTTGTCTTTTAGACGGCTGCTTCTATAAAGGCACTCTCCATGCCACCGGATCTTCATGGGCCGACGGATGTGACTTCGACTGTCAGTGTATCGACGGTACCGTCGGCATGTATCAGTGCAGGAACAAGTAAGTGGAACCAATGCCCTAGATAGAACTCTGTCTAAGTCGTATTTGTCTGTGATTTCATACAAATTTGAAAACAGTGTAATATTTTCCTTTGTAAGAAAAGAGACATACCACCTGCTTTTTCAATCTTTTATGTTCTACCCATTATCTAATCTAATGTACTGCTGCATAGACATGGCATATGGTTTTCTTTTATCGAGCATTTTTATTTAAACCATCAAGGTGTCCTCAGTATCCAAATCTTCCAAACACGTGCTCACTTGTGACGTCACCAGGACAGTGCTGTAAAGTAGTGCAATGTATGTATGGCCGGTGTATTGATATTTTCTGTCAAAGTAGAATGATGAGAATTGGGTGTGTGCCATGTGATGGTTACTGTCTGATTTTTAAGTACATACTTGATAAGCACAGCTGACGTTACCTGTCAAATTAAATCAGGAAACAAACACAGAATTTGGATAAATGGAAACAATGTCAGTTCGACAGACGCCGTTTAAAACGTTTTAAAAACTGGTGAACGTTCAAACACTACGTGGGAATAATTGTTGTGCCGCAATGTTTAAATTTGTGTTTGATGTTTTTATACACACCATGGTATTTTCTCTTTGCTGCGTTCTAGGTAGTAACACCGGCGTGGGAGGGGGAACCACTGCTAACCCGGGAACAGGAACCGGAACAGGACCTGGTAAGGGCATGCGTGGTGCTTTTATATTAAAATTACCAGTTTTCAGCAGAACCCCAATTGAGAGTAAAATAGTAATTTAATCACTTTATAATATTACCAGAATGCACAGCTTTATCTATAAATACGTACAACACAGCTAATTAGTAACCTTTTGAACCTTTCTGATTTCATTTCTCTTTTAATCGTACCTACATGTATTTCACTCGGTTTACTATTAAAAAGAAATCTTTTTTTTTACTACCCCTGCCATGTAATCAGGAACATGTCGGGACAAGCTTCCAAACTGTAACAACTACCCCCAGTCCGCGTGCGAGGGTATCTACCAGCCTTGGGCACGAGACAACTGCGCCAACCGTTGTAACCTTTGTGGTAAGGGGCGAATGAGGCATCAGTTAATTACTTATACATAGCACGCTCTTCTGAAAGCTCATATGCTAGTGGACTTTCTTAATGAGGGCTATGTTGGCTTATGATTTTCATTGGTTGTTAATCTGATTTTCATGAAGAAGGTTTCAAAGCAAGAGCTTTTTTCACATTAGGTGATACATGTAAGGTTTATTTATTATTTCTAAAGGAATTTAAAAGTTAAAGTATAATGTCATAGTGATAGAATCTCAAAAGAAGTGCACACTTGGAACTTAAACTATGCACTATGACCATATTAATTGGTATTGTTCATATGAACAGGCAGTACTGGCGGTTCTACTGGAGGAACCGGTACTGGTACTGGAACCGGTGGAAGCAGTGCCAACGGCACCATTGCCGTCATCACTGGGAACAATGGACCTGTAATTAGTGAGACAAGTATGCGATCATGCAACTCCTTTGTCACTTACAACTTACTCTCCCTCTCCCCCTCCCCCCTCTCTCTCTCTGTCTCTCTCTCTCTCTCTCTGACCAAAATAAGATGACGAAGGTTAATTACTTTAACAAGTCAAATTAGAATTAAACCAATTATGAGAAATCAAATGTAGCTAAGATGCTCCTTTCTGTGGGAGTTCCCATGTATTCACCATTATGTAATGGCACTCCTGTTTATAGACAAACGGTTAAAATTACTGAACCCAATTCATTACACGATGCAAATAACGTGTGTATCTAAAGAAGACTGTACCTTAATTCTGTTAAATTTTTCAGCCAACAAATGCCTGTATAAGGGTAAGTTGTACAACAAGGATGAGGTTTGGTATGATGGCTGCGACTACAGGTGTTCGTGTGGTTCCGCCGGCAAATATACCTGTTATAAGAGGTAAGTACATTAAAACAAGGTCCGGTGAACAAAAAGGTCTTTGGCCTAATTAGTCTAAACTTTAACCCAGAAAATTGATTTTGCTTATCTTCCATAGAAGTCCGCGTAAACATAAGTAAGGACTGGTTACGTCTTTCTTGTTATGGTATTGGTTCATTTCTATTGGACTACAACTAATCTGTCTTAGATCAAAGTTAACAAAATTTTTAATGTACAGTGATGGTCAATTATTGGGTAAAAGTTCATTTTTTGTAAAAAGTCCGCGATGTTTTCAAAGTTGATCTGAATTCACTGCATATTACATACTTATGAAGTAGATTTTAATAATCTGATTGCACGCACCCTCAAGATTGAAAAGTGTGTTTTGGCCTAAATTGGTCCAGCTTTGTGTACGTAACCCCAGTGTCCACCGTCCACGTGACCAAGAACTATAACGTAATGACCAAAATTTAAAAAAAATTAACTTCATTGATAAATATGAAAACATGATTTTTTTCGTATTTTGAAGCACATTGTGATTTATTCAAATCACTTCTTTACGCATATCTGAAAAAATTAACTATGCACATCCCTCTGAATTCACTCCTTATATCAACAGGTGCCCTACATGGCAGCTTCCATCAGCATGTAGTCTCCAGGCTCCGGAGTTTGGCAAGTGTTGTTCTAAACCGGTCTGCCCGGCAGGATACACCATCCAATACCCAGACGGCTATGTTGACCAATAGGCACACAGCACGTGCACGGAAACTGCCGATAACTGCCGAAACGATACGTACTTAGAAAACTTCACCACGATATAGCAGACAAACATTTTTTATTGTTAACTTTTAATCTACCTCTGATTCATTTCATTATTTGCACCGTTAGGATGAAGGTGGTTAAATTGATCAATGATCAGCGCTCTTAATGACGGGCAATTTTGAAGAGTTCTTGTCAAGTCCATTGACATGAGTATTGATGACAATATGGATATATTCGAACAATGCTAATGTAACAAACAGGTGACTTTTTTATTTGTTATTGTTTTTTAATGTAATTGTGATTCTGATGTTACTGATTTGAAGAACAACTGCTTCTAAACAAATAGACGAAGTGCATGGAATGAATGCTGAATTGAAATTATGAATAAAGATGTTGCAAATAAAGAAAGAGACTTTGTTCCAGACACTGTGCAGAAAAAAAAGCTCATGTGTGTAAATGTTATGTAAGGTATACGTTTTATGTATTCAATGCACGAATTTCTTTATGTGACTTTTTAACCCAGATGTAATTTCTTTTTACAAAACGATCGATATTTAGGTTTCATCATTCCCCTTTAAAATAGAAATTGGCAACACAATCGAATATGGGTGTAAGACATTAGTTTATTTTTTTCCGTCCTGAAATACATGTAAGAAGAGGGCATGCACTCTTTAGTCCAGGGGTTTATGAAAAATCCTTCAAATTTGAAAGTCAAGCACAACACTTAAGTGCACTGCGGAAAAGACATTTGTTTGAATTATCGCGGAGGTATACACGTGTGGTCAAGTAAGGAAATGTGAGATGTTGCTTCCACACTGTTACCGAGGTCACGACTGAATGTTATTTTACGCTTAGAAATCTTTTCCAATCCTGACAAAATTCATGCTTGCCTCTAACGATGGATATTTTCACAAAAACCTTAACATAACTGCTGGACTGTATCGCCCGTGTCATATTTCAGTTGTGTTCGCGATAGTCTAATTTACAATGCATACGCACAAAATATCAGTTATGGTGTATTATATATTGAATGTAATCTTATGCTTGGAAATATATTTGACTTATAACCAATCCCAATCCGGCAAATGGTATGCCTGCATCTCAAATTATGTTAAAACCTTACCATACCTGTAACTGGTGGACTATACCGTCCTTATCACTTTTCAGTTGTATTAAGCCTGGGTCTCAACTACACGCACGATTTTCAGGACGTACGTTTTTTTACTCGCGTCTGGCTAGGCAATAGCGAGATCGCAGGGAAGGAATCAAGTAATTGGTGATTGCAAGGAGTGCGCAAGCAGTGAGTGCGTGGAAAGTACGTGAGAAGCACAGCCCCTGCACGTCAGAATTAGGATTGAACATTGTCATCACTTTGCGGTTTCTGGCAACAGGGGCAAGCTACCGCAGTCTGGCATTGAACTTCAGGGTGGCTCATAACACCATATCCAAGTTCATACCAGAAGCCCGCCAGGTTCACACGGTGCGGGCGTGAAAGTGCGGAGTAAGCACGGGATGAGCAAGAAATAAGTACGTGTATCCTGCGCTTCAACCACGTGCATCGCACGCACCGTTGCCACCAAATCGAAGTGGGAAAAATAATTTTATCACGTGGCCCGTACCACAAGCGCACGACAGGTGCACGACAGGCGAACGGTACACATTGGCATGTCGTACTTTTTCCATTTTTTTTTTTTTAGTTTCCGTAGACCGCGGCTGTTGAACATATCGTAAAATTTCTACGTAATGTCTGCGACCTTCAAAAGTTGCACGATGGACGTGCTCCTCACGCTCGAAATCCCACGTTTTCCCCAAGTTTTTGGCCGTAGACCAGACGTAGAAACTCGTAGGTCGGCTTGGGACACAGGCTTTAGATAGCCTACTTTACAACGTACCCAAACATATATCAGTCGCGATACACGTGGTTGACATGCTGGAGAGATACAAAAAGCTCGCTTAATCCACTTTTGACAACAAGAGCATAGGGATCAGCTGGGTTTTGCTGTTAAATAAGTATAGATACAAAACTTTACAATGGATGATCGTCTAAAGTACAGCACCCCAATAATGCCACCAATCTACCAAGCGTCCACATACTATGTTAAATCAATGGACACTTTTGAAGAACTTATCAACAAGGTAAGTTCTTGAAAGCGGCAGTATACACTGTAGTCAGGTCTATCAAGAATGGTACATATCAAGCACAAGGAAGGAAGAATTATGCTTTTTACCGTGGGGTTAAGTATTCTGGTTTTTGAACCCTCCATGACGTTCTCGTCAGTCCTGAAAGGAGGAAGCTCTCCACTTACTTTAGTAAAATGTATATTTACACAAATCATTCAGTGCTTTATAATTTGGCAGTCAGCTTTCCCTCATCTCCGTCGCTACACGTATCTGAATGGTAAGCCCCATTCTCGATTCAAACTCCTTCTCAAAAGTGCTTCCGATCTGCCTAGCAGGTAAAACCTTAGGTTAGACTAAGTTTCAGAAAATTTAACTGCAACGTTCGATAACACATAAAAACCCATCAAAAGTGAAACTGGATATTTAGGCGCAGCGTTTTACCTACATTGACCGAAGATAAACCAGTGGTGAACCGCCTAGATGCCATGTTGCGCCTATTTAATATCACGAAAGAAATGGCTAAAGTTAAGACCACTAGTTCTAGCTACTGGTTTATCATGAGCTAATTAACAGACTTTTTAGGTGGATCAGGACCCATGGACTAATCTAAAGTCAAACACTGGTGCTGTGTTTCGGTTTATGTACGTTGGAATTTCCTTTTCAAAAAGAAATCAATCCAGGTGCTTCTTGCTTGAAAGTTTAGCATGGATTTCTTTAGGCTGGCTTATACCTGATCATAAGTGTGCTGACAAAAGACGGGGACTTGTGAGTCCATGTTGCAATCTTTGGTTCAATGCTCTTACCCTCGGAAATAAAGACGTATTGTAACAAACGTTAGATAAATAGAATACCGTTCTTCTTCCACTTGAATCAAGTTATATCAAAATTGTATCGTGACGAATGAGGGCGGATATCGATGATTTTGGGATCATTCTGAATTTCAGATTGAGAAGAGCCGAGTGCTAGTACTCCGCGACCTAAATATGGCGGACCTACATGAAAGGAAGACCGCTTAATCCTGTAATGGTATCTCTAACACGCCTCCCCACGTGTCGATCCTGCAGGGGCACAGTAATTAAATCTCGGCTCAATTCAACCGGTCGAGGGACAACGCGTGAGGAGGCGTGTGAGAGGCGGAGAGACCATCACAGGATTAGCGGTCTTCCTTTCATGTAGGTCTGCCATATTGAGGCCGCGGCCTTACTGGCACTCGGCTCTTCTCAATCTGAATGGTCCCTTTGTGACGGAGAGGTATGTAAATAACAGGCCTGCCACGGTGATTTGAGGACGTGGATCGAGATAACTTACTCCCCCTTCCAATGTAAATAAACATGCAATAGCCCTCAAACATTGCCCTTTTACATTTCTGAATTAAACTGAAAGGTAAATTGCTCAAAGTATGAGAACCATTAGCGATCACATTAATGGACAAGGGCGTCACTTTATCCTCAAACCAGATGCTCTTCACTTAGCATTCATTTGCAGGACACTGAAACTTTTAGTGGAGTTTTAGAAAAAACGGACATTATTTACTGAAACCATTTACAACATGACATTTCGGTTTCTATAACTTCAGGATGGTTATTTCTATCTGCGACACGGGTGTCCCACATCTAGAGTAGCAGAGGATGCTATTAAGGAGTTAGAGGGCGGGGTTGGCACCTGCGCGTTCAGCAGCGGCATGGCAGCCGTGTCCACCATATTTATGGCTTTTCTGAAGCCTGGAGACCACATGGTGAGAAACAAAATGTTGTCCTTTATTATAGTCCTTCACTATCGTCACGACATCAATCTCTTTTAATTTAGATATATCTTACACATTTTCTTTATGTAATTTTTCTCACTTCAAAATATGTATTTGTGATCATATCCAATAAATACCACGTATTTAAGGTTAACTGCGATATCCACAGGTAAGCGTATTTGCGTACACAATTTCTGTAACTGCTTGCCATATTTCTACCATGTTAAATATCTACGGGCGTTTAATATATATATATATATATATATATATATATATATATATATATATATATATAGTTACACCTTGGAATGGTAGGTGATGAACTACCCAGTGTACAGTGGTGTAGACAACTTCATCAGAAAGTTTCTGGTCCCCAAGATGCAGATAGAAATTACCAGGGTTCCTGCCGGATGTGACGTAGAGATGTACCGGAAACACGTCAAGGAAAACACCAAGGTAGCACAATACATATTTAGCACTGAAGAAAGATATGTATAATTATAATGCACAACTGCGTTGCCTCCCTGTTTTGATACAATCTGAGCCCCTTTTCCGGAAACCTGCCAGGTGTTTGAGTAGATATCGATACATGTCAAACATAGAAGAAATGTATATCATGTAAATGTCATTAAATTTAGTCTGAGTTAGTCTGATGAATGGTTGAAAACGTCATTTCATTGCATTTTTGTTTTGTTTTGCCTTTTACTTCTTTACACCAAACCAAATTGACATCCAACAATCAACTTCAAATATCCCCCTAGATACTATACGGGGAGACCCCCTGCAACCCAATATTGACCATTCTGGACCTCGATGCCTTTGGAAAACTTGGTCAGAGTCTCCCTGGGGTGATCACAGTGGTGGACAGCACCTTTGGTGGCCCTTACGTCCAGCAGCCTATTAAGCATGGAGTAGACATCTGTTTTAACAGTTGGTAAGTGAAACGTCAAGAGACAGAGACAGAGGTTTTTAAAATATCGAGTTTGCTGTAATTGATTTCCTGTCCATTCAGAACAAAAGCATGGAATCATCTCCTAGAGAAAAAGGAGTGTTAATGTATGTAAAGCAGGAGCTGAAAGAGGCACTGCAGGTTTCTTCTTGTTAAATCACAAAGTTGCTTCGTAGCAAAACGGACGGTTGTATCGTACACTCCCCCCCCCCCTTTTTAAAGTATTCCCACCCTTTGCAAACCAGTAGCAAACGACCGTAACTGAACTAACTGGTATGTTCACCAATCCGTGATAATTAAGCAATATGCTCTCATGAAAAAAAAATGAAACACCAAAAGTCACACATTTGTTGTTTTTAAGCCAATAACTGTTGTCTGTGCCTGCCTTAATTACAGCACCAAGTATTTGGGCGGCCACAGTGATCTTCTTGGTGGATGTGCCACGACAAGAACAAAAGAACTGTATGACGTCATCCAAGATATGTCCATAACAGCGGGTAACAGACTAGTGAGTATAGTGGCCAAAGAACTGAACAACATATAAGCCTGTCATTATCACATTTTGAAAGGTGTCTAATTCGAGCTAGCAACTCTACATATACATGTCGCATAATCTTTGTATCATTTTCTAAACCAATTACCTGTTTAGTTTATGACCACAATTCGTCATCAAGATTTTACTGATAATACTTCAAATATGATATTAGGAATATTGGAGCATACTTGATGATCAAATCTAGTTCGTCTTATCTCTACCATTTATTTATGTACAGTAGAGTAATTTAGAGTAATTTTGTTCCATTTCTACCAAGCAGAATCCATTTGACGCCTCTCTTTTGTACCGGGGAGTGTTAACTCTCGGTGTTCGGATGGAAAAACACTCCCAGAATGCATTGGGACTGGCCAAGTTCCTGGAGAACCATCCAATCGTAAATCAAGTATGGTATCCCGGCCTCCCCTCCCACCCACAGCACGACACAGCTAAAAAACAAATGAAAGTTTACGCAGGCATGATTGCATTCGACATGAAATGTTCACTGGAATGTGCCAAGAGTTTTGTCGAGGTAAAGAACGTGTTCTTAATGCAAACCTGTTATGTTTGAAATATTGTCATTGATGGTTTTAAGAAAATCCACATCGCTTCAAAAGCGACCGAAAGTTTTTAAGAGTAAATGAATCTCTACTTTAAAGAAAAAATCCAACTGGATGTGTCGATTCTTAGGACACGTACACATACTCCAACAAGGGAATACAAATACTAATACCATAAGAATATAAGAACAATCAATATTGGAGTTTACTTGAATTTTCCTCAAACTTTTTATCGTGTAATCCTCTGGAATTGTCTAGTTTCATTTTAAGTTAATATCACTACATATTTGAACTTTTCAATTAATAAAAGCGATGAAGTTTGCAGTGTTCATCTGCTTTGTCCACAATCTCACACAGCTTACCAGTCAATCATGATTAGATTTTTCCATATTTTTCATAACCAAATCTTTTCATGGTGACCATTCTCCTAAAGATAACCAGTTCATCATTTTGAGACATTTCCATACATTTCAGAACCTGAAAGTGATAAAACTCGCGGTTTCCCTTGGCGGTGTCCGCAGTCTAATAGAGCTGGCCAGCCTGATGACCCACGGTCCATGGATCTCGGGGGAGGAGTGTGTCGCGATGAATAACCTCCCTGAGACCCTGGTTAGGCTGAGGTTAGTGCAGTTCCATTAAATATGTATAAAAAGAGGGCCTTTTGATCTTATTGTATCTGCACGCACTGCATTTCAAGATTTTTGATTGGAATACTAATACCATGCAGATTGGAGACTCGACGAGAATGTGTTAAAGATGTTTTGGAGATAATTCACATTTATAATGATTTATTTGTGGAATCACGTAAATTAACCTCGTGTTTAAAGTTAAAAACAAGTGTACTGGTTCAACAGATTACAATACGGTGCATGTTTTCTTGCAGTGTCGGAATTGAAGACATGGACGTTCTGATGGAAGATCTTAAACAGGCACTTGATAAAATACCAGTAGCTTCATGAGATTTTTTCATTGAAAAAACTCTAGCTTAGAAATTATCAATTTATGCTGACACGCACATATCAAAAATAGATTTTACATACGTAGAAACATGTTTTAAAGTGCATTCTATGTGTTTATTGTTTGACGCAGATGCGAGGCAAATAGAAAGGGAGGTAGTAAGTTAGAATTTCCCATAATATGATTAGGGATAAAATTATGTGAACGCTCATGTGGTTAAACTATGTCGGATTCTGCTGTGGTTAGGCGAGATGGATGGATTGAAATTGGGGACTTGAAATATGCCACCAAAGCTTTGTATTGGTTCCTTGCAATTTCAAACACACTTACTGGCAATTAGATAAATTGCATGTTTTCTTGAGAGTGGATTACAAAAATATTCCTATTTTAACAATATATTCATGCCACCGTAGTATTTGTTGATGTAATTTTTCTGCCTACCAGTAGATGTGGTGTCTTTCTAATAAAATTTTGTTTGTTCATCTCAAATGTTTTTTTTTTCCTTTTTTTGTGGGTGGGATGTCTGCTGTCGAAGGCCTTAGTACTTCTTATCACTGAGTATTACTCACTTACTGTTTTCGCCTTCAGTTTGCATAAGTGTAATTTGCCTTTCACTGAGCGCAGCACTCCACGTTAGGGCCACGCCGTATGCTTACAGATGCACCAATACACTATAGGTCAGCGACAAACTGGCACACAGGAAGCGAAGTAGGCGTATTCAGTGTGGATCCTCCTTAAAACAGGTTTTGATCAGAAATAATTGTACTCTTTTTCTTTCACCATGCACCACTATCCTGCGATATGCCCCGAGCAATTTGGTGAGAGTATGCAAGATTTTTTTTTTTTTTTTTTGTACACGAGCGCAATTTGCATAACAATCATGGTTCGACTTAACAGCTTTGTCTACTACCCACAATAATTCCTAACATTGATCTTATTTCTATGACTTAACGATAATTTAAGAGATAGTCACGTTTAAAGGTAGATACGGTTTAGCATTTTGTGCAATATGGAAACAATAACGAAACCGGTTGTTTGACTATCTTTTACTTTTACCCATGGATTTACAGTTTTCAACATTGTTCGTTTGAGGAGAGAATGTATATTCATACAAGCTTTTAAGTTTAACTAAAGACATTCCAAATCAACTAAATCATAAAAACAAACTAAGCAAACAGGAATGAATTCTTTAAATGCACTCGAAGAGGGGGTTTTACATAAGAGATCACCAGAGGTGCCGACCTAGAAATCTAGTCCATTTGTGCCTTTGAGTGCGTTGGCTCCAATGGTTGCAACTCTCATCTGAAGCAATAGTATAATATTAAAACAGAAATGCGTAAGTAGGCCTTGTTATTCCGTTATTAATACCCTAGAAACTGTCTCTCTCTCTCTGGCTCTATCTCATACCCGTAACATAGGTAATAACCCGCGATGTTCTATTTCAGTTCAGAGACAATTCTAAAAATGGAATTGTATTAAACGGGGAACTGTATCAGGCCCGTAGCCAGGGGGTTCGGGGAGTTCGAATGAACCCCACTTTTGCCGGAAAAAGGTGCCCTCAGGGAAAATTTTTTTCTAGGTACACGTAAGTTTCATGATAAAAGGTCCACTTTTTCAAAAAAAGATCCCCCCCCCCACATCCTTTTGAAATTGCTGGCTTAGGCCTGTGTATATTCAATAATTACTCAGTAATCAAAATGTAATGCTAATTTTCAATCAAAAGTCAGGATTGTGCTAGGAGAGAAGAAACGCCATGGTTGAGGTTTTTCAGCAGTAGGCGTACAGTACAGTGACAAAAGACCGATAAACTTTTGAAAACATTAATGAATGAACGATTAATAATACACAAATACATGTTTAGTTGGACTTCGCTTGCTTGATATTTAGGTTTCCTCACTCTCCTTTAAAATAGAAATTGGCAACACAATCGAATCTGGATGTGAGATATTAGTTTGTTTTTTTTCCCGTTCCGAAATACAAGTAACAAGAGGGCATGCACTCTTTAGTCCAGGGGTTTACGAAAAATCCTTCAATAAGATAAGATAAGATAAGATAAGAGTTTATTTAGCCAATTATAAAAATCGGAAATCATTTTCCTTTTGGAGCAATATACAGAGTAAAATAATAAAATAATACAATAAATAAATAAATTAAGAATTTAGTTTTGAGATCAAAATTAAAATGCGTCACTACACTTGGATAAAAGCTGTTTAAAAAGCGTTTACTGCCTTTAAAAGTTAAAAGTCTACTGTTGCTTGGTAAAAAAAGTAAAAAGAGATGTTGCAGGATGGAAAGAGTCTTTCATGGTGTTGACAATTCTTTTCTCCATCCTGTCTTTAAAAAACATCATCCAGCATGGGGAGATCCTGCCCAATAATCCTGCTTGCAGTTTTTACAACGTTTGTTAATTTCTTCCTTTCCTCCCCAGCTGTTCCGCTATACCATATTATAATTCCGTACACTAGAATGCTTTCAATTACACACCTGTAAAAATTGACTAAAATAGGCACGCTATCAGTAAAAGTTCTCAATGATCTTAAAAAATACAGTCTTTGCCGTGCCTTCTTTACACTCTTTGCGGTGTTATCTTTCCAATTCAATTTACTGTTAAGGTGTATACCAAGTAGTTTAAATTCCTCTACTCTACTAACTTCAACATTACCAATGGTGAGTGGTACCTTTACATTCTGATTCCTTCTAAAATCCACTATCATTTCTTTGGTTTTAGCTACGTTCAAGATAAGATCATTACTCTCGCACCAGCTTAACACCGACTCAACAGATTCTCTATATGTACTCTCGTCGTTATCAGTAACTAGCCCCACAAGCGTAGTATCATCCGCAAATTTCATGAGAAAAGTCCCGTCGCTTACACTAGTACAATCATAGGTAAAAAGGGAGTAAAGACAAGGTGAAAGGACGCATCCCTGTGGTGCACCGGTATTTAAGACTGTTGTTTTTGAGCTAAAAGAGCCGACTTTAACAGATTGTCTTCTATCTAAAAGAAAGTCTAAAATCCAGTCACAAATAAAGACAGGTAGCTTAAGATGGTTTAAAAGTTTCAGATATAGTTTTTTTGGCACAATTGTGTTAAAAGCTGAACTGTAGTCAATAAATAAAATCCTTGCATAAGAATTTCAATCTAGAGAGTCAAGCACAACACTTGAGTGCACTTTGGAAAAGTCATTTGTTTGAAATATCGCGGAAATATATACATGTACAAATGTGACCAAGTAAAAAAATGTGAGATGTTGCTTCAAAGGGGGTCATGGGGGGGGGGGGGTTCTGACCCTTCCTTCGGTTTCTCGACATTATCCTCGATTCCGACAAAATTCATGCTTGCCTCTTACGATGTCACTAAAACCTTAACTGCTGGACTATATCGCCCGTATCATAGTCAGTTGTGTTCGCGATAGCCTAATTTACAACGCACACACACAGATATCAGTTATCATGTATTATACATGTATATCGAATTCAATCTTAGGCTTGGAAATATATTTGACTTCATCCCAATACGGCAAAATGTCATACATACATACATCTCATATGATATATGATGGATATTTTCACTAAAACCTTGACATGCCTGTAACTGCTGGACTATATCGCCCTTATCACTTTTCTGTTGTATTAGATAGCCTACTTTACAAAGTATACACACGTATATCAGTCACGATACACGTTGGTTGACAGGCTGGAGATCTCGTATCTGGAAATCTCGCTTAATTCACGGTGAATTTTGACAACAAGAGCATAGGAATCAGCTGGATTTTGCTGTTAATTAAGGATACACAACTTTACAATGGATGATCGTCTGAAGTACAGCACCCCAATAATGCCACCAATCTACCAAGCGTCCACATACTATGTTAAATCAATGGACACTTTTGAAGAACTTATCAACAAAGTAAGTGCTTGAAAGCTGCATTTTAGTCATGTTTAACACGAGCAGAACAGATAAAGCACAGGGAAGGCAAATTTGGGTCTTAACCGTGTGCTTAGTATCTGGGTTTCTTACCTCTCCCCCACCCCACCCCTTCCCCACCTCCCCTGGCATTCTCGTTATTCTTGAAAGGAGGCAGTAAGTGAGGGTGCGCTGCCCATTTACCTAAGCCAAATGTATATTTACAAAAGTCATTCAGTACTACGTATTTTTCTGCCAGTTTTCCCTCATCCCCATCGCTTTCTGAATGGTAGGCCCCATTCTCGATTCTCCTTTTCAAAAGTGCCTCCTACGTGCCTAGCTGGTAAAACCTTAGGCTAGACTTAGTGAACTGATGTTTCAGAAAATTTAAATGCAGCGTTCGACAACACAGAAATCTTACCATCGAAAGTGAGACTAAATATCTAGGAGTAGCATTTTATCTACATTGACCCAAGATAAACCAGTGGTGACGACATGTTTAATTTAATATCACGAAGTAAAATAGCTAATAGCTTAGACCACTAGTCCTTTAATTTCAGCCAGCTACTAGTTTTTCATCCTCGGCTAAAGCAATGTAAATCACTTGCTTCATCGTAGAAAGTTTAACGTGGATTTCTTTAGGCAAGTCATAAGTGTCATAAGTGTCATAAGTGTGCTGACAAAAGACGGGGACTTGTGGGTTGCATATTGCAGTCTTTGGTTCAATGCCCTTACCCTCGGAAATAAAGGCGTTTTGTAACATACGTTAGATAAATAGAATACCGTCACAATGTGTGCGGTTGCCCTTTCATATATACTCTGATGACACTATAGTTATCTAGATCTATGGAATACCCTTTTCTTCTTCCACTTGACTCAAGTTAGGTCAAAATTGTATCATCCCGAATGACGGCGGATATTGAATATTTTTCACGGTACAGCGTATAGTGAAAAATGATTGTCTTTGCGTTACGTCACAAGCATGTGACAGTGCTGAGTAGTAGTCACAGGTGTGACTATTAGGTGTACTTTGCAGTAGCACTTCAGTTCTAGCCCGACAGCTTAGCAGTTAGGACACACTAAAAATTTATTTTATAAATATTTATTTGGGTTTGTGAATTCAGAGTGAGGTCTGTCACTCTAGATCTCTGAATATCATGCATCTATATTTTATAGGGCGATGATTCGCATAAGTTAGCATCGCAGCTACAGACACAGTTTTCCATAGTGACTTTACTGTTTCGCATGCACAGTTTTATCTATGGTTTTTACTGAGCGGCATGTTATTCTTAAGGAGATCTGTTTTACGCACAGTTTTTCGGAAATGTATAATAATAGTAATGATAACGGAGTTCAAAGTTAATTTATCGGTAGAAGATTAAGTACATTCAATATGTCATTATTTGAGTTTGATACTCAAATGGTATATTAAAAAAAAATCTATTAGTAAAACAAAGCACAAATATATATTACACACAACGTATTGTATTATTTGTTAATGAATTCCAATTGAAAGAAATAAAACCGACTCCCTTCTCTTATCGGCCGGGCTAGTCGGCAAACAAGTATTTGCCTTTGTTTTGTGTATGCTATATAGAATAGTAAAGACCGATGATTTTGTGAGACGTGGATATAGCCTTCTTTGATGAACAGGTATGTAAATAAAAGGCCTGCCACAATGATTTGAGGACTGGGATCGAGATAACTTGCTCCCCCATCCCCCAAAAAAGGATATTTCAATCCCCGTAATTAAGTCAGAAGCGCAAGGAGGGGGCTTATAACATTTTTGAATGGTCCTCCCCCCCCCTCCCCCACCACCACATATATACACACACACACGCACATCAGGTTTCCTGACGATTCCTAACTGTGTCAACTCCATAAAAGTCCTAAAAACTGCTATACAGGCATATGCTTTGGGTAAAAGACATCATAATACTGGTACACACCTTATAATACTACTAACGACAGATTTGTTTGGAAGCCTTGGATGGTCCTTGTTTAACTCATTTTAAGTGGTTATCCGTAGAGATGTTCAAAAAATGCAACCACTCCTCCGTAAAAACAAGCAGTACCCTTCAAAAAGTGCCTTCTTGCATTTTCTAAATTAAACTGAAAAGGTAAATTGCTCAAAGTATGATAACCATTAGCCATCACATTAATGAGCAAGGACTTTATCCTCATCAGCAGATGCTCTATTTAAAATTGTATTTAGTTTGAACTTTTAGTGGAGTTTTAGAAAAAACGGACATTATTTAGTGGAACCCTTTACAACATGACATTTCTATAACTTCAGGATGGCTATTTCTATCTGCGACACGGGTGTCCCACATCTAGAGTAGCAGAGGACGCTATTAAGGAGTTAGAGGGCGGGGTTGGCACCTGCGCGTTCAGCAGCGGCATGGCAGCCGTGTCCACTATTTTCATGGCTTTTCTGAAGCCTGGAGACCACATGGTGAGAAACAAAATGTTGTCTTTTATTATATTTCTTCACTATCGTCAAGATGTCAATTTTGTAGGCTATTTGGTCATGCCTTTCATTTTAAATATTTGCCATACATATTTTCTGTTTGTAATTTTGCTCACTTTAAAATATGTACTAGTCATCAATTTCAATAAGTACTTCTTTAACTAAAACCAAGAAGTTGCGTACACAATTCCTGCAATTTCTTGCCATATTCTTACCATTTTCAACCATTTTCAATATCTATGGAAGTTAAATAGTTGCAATGAAATATTTGGAGTGTATTTATGCCTTGCCGTGGTAGGTGGTGAACTGCCCAGTCTACAGTGGTGTAGACAACTTCATCAGAAAGTTTCTGGTCCCCAAGATGCAGATAGAAGTTACCAGGGTCCCCGCCGGATGTGACGTAGAGATGTACCGGAAACACGTCAAGGAAAACACCAAGGTAACAAGATACTTATTTAGCATTAAAGAAAGATATGTAAAATTATTCTGCACAAATGCGTTGCCTCATTGTTTTGAGGCTGTCTAGATTTTTGACAATATTATAAATGACACTTACGGAATCGAAGGTCACATTGTATGATGCAGGGCATACTCGCCGGGCTCTAATAACAAGGGCACTCTCTCAAAGGTCTATTGACAATTCAAAATTGACTTTGAAATTGACCTTGACACGTCTTAAATCCACACCATCATTTTGATCATCTTTCGTCACATTTATTTAAAATCTGACATCCATTTCCGTTCACGCGGTTACCTGACAGGTGTTTGAGTAGGTATCGATCACATGCCAAACATAGAAGAAAGGTTAATTATGTAAATATCATTAAATTTACTCTGAGTTAGTCTGATAAATGGTTGAAAACATCACTTCATTTCATTTTTGCTTTGTTTGCCTTTTACTTCCTAACATCGCACCAAATGAACAAATAAATGAACCAAGTCAAATTCAAATATCCCCCTAGATATTATACGGGGAGACCCCCTGCAACCCAATATTGACCATTCTGGACCTCGATGCCTTTGGAAAACTTGGTCAGAGTCTCCCTGGGGTGATCACAGTAGTGGACAGCACCTTTGGTGGACCTTACGTCCAGCAGCCTATTAAGCATGGGGTGGACATCTGTTTTAACAGTTGGTAAGTAAGACATTAAGAGGCAGAGAAAGTATTTAGAACGTGAACAGTCAGGTCAAGGCTCTGATTTCTGTTCTTTTAAAATATTTGGACCATATATTACATTTCAAAAGCCTGTTGCTTTGGTTTCTGATAGTAGGCGAACTGATTATTTTGCTTTACAAAGAAGCATCAATACCCGCACACTTGTTACATGTATTTATATAGCCAATAAACTGTTGCCTGTGCCTAATTACAGCACCAAGTATTTGGGCGGCCACAGTGATCTTCTTGGTGGATGTGCCACGACACGAACAAAGGAACTGTATGACGTCATCCAAGATATGTCCATAACAGCGGGTAACAGACTTGTGAGTATAGTGGCCAAAGAACTGACCAACATATAAACCTGTCAGTATTACCTATAAAAATATCGAGGTGTCTAATTCGATATCGCAACTCTACAGATACATGTCGCATAATCTTTGTATCATTTTTCAAACCAATTACCTGTTTAGTTCATGACCCACATTCGTCATCAAGATTTCAAGTGTAAGGCTTTCAATCAGAATTCACTGATAATCCTTCAAATATGATATTAGGAATATTGTACATTGTAGTATACTTAATGATCAATTCTTATTCGTCTGATCGCTACCATTTGTTTATAGTATTTTTGTTCCCATTCTATCGAACAGAATCCCTTTGACGCCTCTCTGTTGTACCGGGGAGTGCTAACTCTCGGTGTTCGAATGGAAAAGCACTCCCAGAATGCATTGGGACTGGCCAAGTTCCTGGAGAACCATCCAATTGTAAATCAAGTATGGTATCCCGGCCTCCCCTCCCACCCACAGCACGACACAGCTAAAAAACAAATGAAAGTTTACGCAGGCATGATTGCATTCGACATGAAATGTTCACTGGAATGTGCCAAGAGTTTTGTCGAGGTAAAGAACGTGTTCTTAATGCAAACCTGTTATGTTGATGATTTTGGGGAAATCCGCAATATTTCTAAAGTGACCAAATGTTTTTAAGGGTAAAAGTATCTCTACTTCAAAGAAAAACTCCAACTGGGTGTATCGATTCTTAGGATGTGTGCACATACTATAACAAGGGAATACAAATAAATTCAAATACCAAAACCATAATGATATAAGAACAATCAAACCTGGAGTATGTTATGGCGATGTTAATGGCCTGGTCTTAAATCATACTTGAACTTTCCACAAAAGTTTTATAATCTTATCATCTGGCAATGACTAATCTCTTTTAAACTAATCAGTTCATGTTTGAGTATTTCAAAATCTAAAAGTGGTGAAGTTTGCAGTGTCCACAATCACACTCAGTTTACCAGTCAATCATGTTTGGATAATTTTTTCCATATTTTTTCCATAATCATATCTTTTCATGATGTCCTGTCTCATAAAGGTAACCAGTTCGTCATGACGGAACCTTATCCGTACTTTTCAGAATCTAAAAGTGATAAAGCTTGCGGTCTCCCTTGGCGGTGTCCACAGTCTCATAGAGCTAGCCAGCCTGATGACACACGGTCCGTGGATCTCTGGGGAGGAGTGTGCCGCGCTGTATAACCTTCCTGAGACCCTGATTAGGCTAAGGTTAGTGCAATTCCATTTAATCTCTATGAAAAGGACGATCTTCTGATTTTACTGGGTTTGCACAAACTGCACTACAAGACCTTGATTGGAATACTGATAACATGTAGATTGGAGACACGACGATAATGTGTTAAAGATGTTTTTTACGTTTATTATGATTTATTAGTGGAACCATTATAAACCTTGTGATAAAAGTTAAAAACAAGTGTTCTGTAAAACAATAATACGGTGCATGTTTTCTTGCAGTGTCGGAATTGAAGACCTGGACGTTCTGAAGGAAGATCTTAAACAGGCACTTGATAAAATACCAGTAGCTTCATGAGATAGTTTCATCGGAAAAAATTTCACACATATATATCTTAGAAATTATTGGCATACGCTTACGCGCACAAAAATAGATTTTACATATGTAGAAACATGTTTTAAAGTGCATTCTATGTGTTTATTGTTTGACGCATATGCGAAGCAAATAGATAGGCAACGTGGTTAGTTAGAATTTCCCAGAATATGATTAGGGATAAATGTATGTGAGAGGTTATGTGGTTAAAATATGTCGGATTCTGCTTTGGATAGACGAGCTGGATGGATTGAAGTTGGGTACTTGAAATATGCCATCAAAGCTTTGTATTGGTTCCTTGCAATTTCAATTACACTAAATGGCAGTTAGATAAATTACATTTATTTTGGGAGTGGATTACAAAAATATTACCTATTTGAGCAATATATTCATCCCACCGTGGTATTTGTTGATATAAATTTTTCTGCCTACCAGTAGATGTGGTGTATTCTGATACACCAGCGCAAATAAATGCTTTGTCAACTGTCCACATTAATCCCTAACTTTGATTCCATTTCGATGATCATGACTTAACGATAATTTAACAGACAACTACGTTTACTGAGGTACATGTACATACGGAATGGTATTTTGTGCGAAACGGGAACAATAACAATATCTGGTGTTTGACTGTCCTTTACTTCAATAAACTTTCATTTCCAAATGAGCCAAAAAAAATAGGAGCTCTGACAGTTTGCAACAAATTATCATGTTTCCTTTGCCACTTCCTCAGCCACGGCCATCATGGCGGCAAACATTTCACTACCGCTCTCGTCTATTTGGTCGGGTGGCAGTACAAAACCTACCCTGTCGCTGCTTGGACGGAGTTCCAGAGTGAAGGCGTACTTGATGCCAGCGCCACCTTTTGCCCAGTCGTCTGAGGCACCTGAGGTGCTATCTAAGAATGAAAAGAAAATAAGTCGAAGTATTCCAACAAACTGTACTGAACTATGGCTTTCCCATGTATTTATAATTTTCACCATTGGTCGTTTGAGAAGAGAATGTATATCCATGCTTTAAAGATGAACCAAAGACATTCCAATTCCAATTCCAACAAATCATAGACAAACTAAGGAAACAGGAATGAATTCTTAAAATGCACTGGAAGATGGGGTCTTACATAAGAGATCACCAGAGGTGCCGACTTCCCAGAAATCTAGTCCATTGGTGGCTTTGAGGGCGTTGGCTCCAATGGTTGCGACTCTCATCTGAAGAAATAGTATAAAGTTAAAGGCAGAAATGCGTAAGTAGGCCTTGTTTTTCCGTTCTAAATAACCTACACTAGAATCTCTCTCTCTCTCTCTCTCTCTCTCATTTCCGAAAAAAAGTCCCTCTAGTTAAAATTTTATCTAGGTACACGAAGGTTTCGTGGTAAAAGCTCCACTTTTTCAGAAAAAGACTTCCCCCTCCTTTTGAAATTGCTGACTGGGCCTGTGTATTTCAAGAATTAGTCAGTAATCATAATCTAATGCTCCTTTTTCAATCAAAAAGAGAGGATCGTGCTAGGAGAGCAGATGCACCGTGGTAGAGGTCATTTAGCAGTAGACGTATAGCACAGTGACAAAAGCATGCATGGTAAACTCATAAAAAATGTTAAATGAATAAACTATTAATAATACTAGTACATGGTTAATTGGATTCAACAGAAAAGTTGTTGAATAAATGGCTATCTAAATCACCTGGTCATCGTAGTCGTCAGGACGGACATCAGTGGTGTATCCCCAGGTAAGAAGCCACTGTTGGCCATACGAATGAAGCGTGACGTAGACCTGGAAGTTGCGAGTGGGATCAGACAGGAAGTCCCTGACGTTCGCAGCCTCGATTTCAGAGAATGCTGCTCGTCCTCGGAATATGGACTCACATTTGTTATCACTGGCAACTACCGCTGGAATTAAGCCAATGTTTTAAGACGTCAACTGCCCTACATTTGTAAAATTAGTAAGAATTAAATATATGTTTACATGTCCGGAAAAAAGCGTTTTGTTCCCCAAAGTGTCCATGTAAAATGCTTAGTGCGTATTGATGACAGAGTACATATCACAGATAAAAAAAATATAAAATTTACAATGCATCAAACAACTGTAAGAGCACATGTTGGGAAGTAGATAACAGTAACACTCACGTGGGTCCCACATGTATCCAAAGTTTCTGTTCAAATCGGTTCCGCAACATGGTGCCCTCTTGCGGCATTTACGATCATTATTTACGTCACAGTTGCAGTCAGCATCGTCGCCACTCCTGTTCTTGCGCCACAGGCGGTCCTAATTAGAAAACAGTATCAAAATGAAAATGATTTGTAAAAAATACGGGAACACGCCGTGCTTGGGCACAACATTACTTGACTGTGGAGTAAATCTCTTTACACATACTAGTACTTTATTCTGGACATGAATCACAATGTAAATGTGATATGGGACTGCCCTCATAGAGATTTGTAACGTATTGAAAACAAATTCTGAGTTTTGTATTGAAATCAAACTCACCGTTGTGTGTGAGTACTCATAGCCGTCAGGGTTGACCACGGGGAGGATGTACCAGTCAAATGTGTCCACCATGCTTTGTACAAGTTCATTGGATTCGTAGGAACTCAGCAGCTGTGTTGGTATTGAAAATAATGAGGGGGAAACCAATGAGAGGAATTAAAGAGGAAATCTCATCCACATCAGTGCAGCAAATGGTTAACAGACACGGAGATAACATATTACTATTCCATATATTCATATATTTTAGAGCACCTGTGTAACTGAATGTAACGGTTAATGGTCATAATTTATATATTTTGATGAGTACCCAGAGAAAAAGAGAAAGACAGAGAGAGGGAGAGCTTTAAACATTGTCCACGATTTCGTTCGTTCAGCCATTAAAATCACGTGAACTTGCCGTGTTAATAACTCACCTCGTTGATGATGTAGACCGCGGTGGCTGGTGCAATCCATTCTCGTGCGTGGATACCGGCGTCTATCCATATTGCAGGCTTGTTACCAGACGACTGGCCCCCAATCTGTATAGATAATTATCTTCACAGAAGCAACCTCAGTGTAATGTATTACTTAACTTAATTTCGAGTTCTTCGGACTTTTTAGTTTCAGTGCCTTAAAACGGCACTTAAATGTAATACTGGACAAAAATGATTTAGGAGAAATTGAAACAAATATTACACAACTGTATAGACCTTCCCCCCACGTGAATATGCATTAGACTTCACATATCTCCGACTCTATCAGATCGGGAAAATGTTCAAGTTTCGTGCAGAATCAAAGAAGACTATGTTCATATTTATTCCAGAACATAAAAGAGAAAAAACGCTATGAGATTTGTTCGAGATAATTATTCTTGTCATAATCTTCACATCAGTTTGGATGCGTGTAATACCTTGATTCCCTTCATAAGTCTTCCCTCGTGTGACGTTCCAACGGTGAAAATGGACGCCAGAGGGCTGTACTGCTCTACCATCATGTCCAGATAGTTATTGATCTATGAAATAAAACATGTTTATAACAACCGTAATAATTGATCTTTAAAAACGTCAGCGAAAAAGTTGAATATTTACATTTATGATGTGATTACAATCCATAAATTAAACGATACATGCTAATCAATTAAAATGATTACGTGTAGTTTTTATTTAAGGTAATCAGTTTCCTATTAATATGGTCCCTAAAAACCCTTCCGTTCTTTTCTTTCGGTAAATCCCACTATAGGGGCCCATTAAGCCTAGTGTTGAGAAGTAATTATCAACACACAAAGCATATAAGACCATCACAACTGCTTATACCTGCATTGATGAAGAGGAGTTGATATCTAGACGAATCATTAGTGAACAATTTTTGTAAACAATTATCTCAATGAAACATAATCACGCCATATAAATTATTAGACTCACAATTCTTTTGAAAAAAAAAAGGTCACACAGAGAGATTGTTTATGATATCAAATGGCAAGTATTATAGGTCAGCACAATCGTGATTTGAAAAATTAACTAGTGTTTACTGTTTTATAGGCTTGTGAAATATGGAGTAGTCGCGAGTATTAAAGGAAGTATCTAATGTATTCAACATCGGATAAATGAACTAAAAGGTATCATTTTCCTATGGCCTTCGTCTTGAAGTAATTTGAAAGTATTACTTGCCGAACAGAACATCATTACTTATTTATCATAAGTTCATTATCTGCACACCTGTTGAACGTCAATACACAATTTAAAATAAACATGTATACGGTAATTATTCCATCCTTTAAAAGGGCAAACAATTTTCAAACATTCAGAAACTTAATTTTATAATCATAAAAATCATATTTCTATATAGCATTCATGGTGCTCTTACTGGATAGAATATTTTGTTGATACCACTCAACAGAAATATTCTAATTTCAAGACATTATGACAAGAACAGAATCTGTAAAATTTATAATTTCCCCCACTGAAAAGATCCGAGTTATCACCGCACTCCACTGCACTCACCTCGTCGTGCCTTGCATATGTGTTAACAATATATTGCTGTGGTGAAGAAAACAACATTTTCGCCATTTTTTTCATCTCATTCCCTCTTGCTTCTTGGTCGATTAAGCTAGTGGCGTAAAAGTATACAGATACATTTGTATTGTATTTAATGATGGAGATTCACTTTATTATCACAAGGAAAAGAAAAATTGCAATTGAAAGATAATATTTAATTAATGCATTAATTTGAGATTAATTTGCATTAATTTAATTTTGAGAGAGAGAGAAAGCTTAAGAGAGAGAGAACGAGAGAGAGAAAAATGAGGAATTTATTCAACTGACCTTTCTAAGTTGTCAACCTTGATATAGTAATTGATGTTTGATGCAGACAGTTCCATCAAAAAACGTGACAAACTTTCCGGCGGAACAAGAACCGAGAGCTCCTGGTTCAATTTAGGAACTCCCCATACTTCCAGCTTAATATAACAAGAAAAAGATAATGTCTCTGTTAGGGAAACTCACACGCATTGATATGACACAATAATGAATATGTTTTTTCATTCTGAATGAGCATATTTACATAGAAATTTAAATTTTGTTCAAACAAAACCTGATTTGAGAATTACAGAACTAATAATTCTGTTTCCCACATCGACAAAATACATTTATACAAATTTCACATGGATCGGTGATATGGGACTTAATTGAATGTTTGTGAACATGTGTGCGTGCTAACGTGCCTTCCCGAGCGCGCACACATGGGAATATGGACAAACAAACACAAACATGCGCGTTTACCTATGCACAAAAGTATTATGTACATCTCAACCTGAAACATTGAAGGTGATGACACACAAGAAAGACAATTTTACCTACCTGTGACGTACGTACGGTAATCAGTAAAAAATAAACCCCCAATCAGTCACAAATGAATGATCTAAAATCACAGCAAGCACGAATATTGGTTTCTAGAAAACGATTACTCATCGGGATTAAGACATAAAATCAGGCTCTAATGATAATCATCTCTGTCTCATAAATCACTATGTCTTTGTTATCGTGTTAAGGCAATAATAGCGTTTCCGTTCTGGGCATCCTGCTTTAACGGTGCGATACATCATTTTTATAACATTGAGTGGACTCTTGGGCATCGATGTCCCATTATGGTGACAGCCATAATTGATCAAATTTACCGGTCGTGGGGTTTATTTGTTGTCTTAAATCTTCGTAAATTCATTTTTGAGTAACCTGTGGGTCAAGCTGTATTTTTTTTAGGTTATAAGTATAATGAGACCAGATATGAAGTCTGTACCTGGCGATTCCAATTAGCGAGTATGGAAAATGCTAGGAATTACTTGAGAGAGATCACAAACATGTAAGGGCTTTTTTGTCAAATCAGGCAGATAAAAAACAGGGTTTCACAATGGGTTCCAATATAACAAGGCAGTTAATTGTCGTGCATTTTCAAACAAACAGCTTATGTATCCACGTTCTTAAAAAATATCCATACTGCAACACAAAATATTAGGTTCACATCATTTGGAATGACTCTTGTAGAGAAAAAATTGAGGCAAACACTTTTTAACAGCGGTTATCGCAATTATTCTGAACTTTGTGCATGCCATTAGACCACGTGGACCTTCATAGACGGCTATACCTCTGTAATAATCTATATAGAGACAATTACAAAAATAAGAACAATTTTAAGAAAAAATGGACTAACTTTGAATGAAGGAATGGCTTCATTAGCCATTGGTAAGTATGGAAAAATCGTCTTTCACCCAGGATAATCCGTTTTATGGCCAAACGGACAGCTTTTATTCCTTTAAGCTCCCCGAAAACCACGAAAAGTGCACAGTCATTGATTTTTGATATGCGAAATCCAGACAGGGTGGCTTTAGCATAAAGCTTGTCTAAGAGCCTACTAGATCTTAATAAATGTGCTCGATCGCTTCCATTTTATTCATTTGTAAATGGACAGTGGCATCAGACTTAATGTAATAATGGATATGGTACAATACCAGTGTCACTGTCTGTGCTCGTCAACCAGAACCGTCACATATCAGTTATTAAGCCACTCACAATCAAGAATATTATTCAACGTTCTGATGACAAAGGTAAACCTCTCTTTGGCTAAGTGGCACTCAGACAAAATGCATTATTATGTTCTGTAATAAAAGGCACGCCTCATGTTTTGAAATGGAACACAATTATCTTCAGGAAAAACCATATGGGCATAAAAAATATGAAAGTTAAGTCTGGTTCATTTGTACTGGACACTTATTACACTTTACTTCGTCTAATTAAAGTGAAATTTGAATTTCAAGTTAGTTCTCGGGCTACAGACATATGACTTTGAATTTTTGTAGAGATGTGCAAAAAGAGGTCAGATCTATTGTTGTTTGTTCAGTGCAATATGTCCAAAACGAACATTTTGTACCCCTCTTTTGTCTCATCAATGCCCCTTTCAGTGGCGGATTTAGGGGGGGGGTTGTCAAGGGGGTCCTGACACTCCTTCATTTTCTGAAAATTCACTTCACTTTTGAAATTAGAAATTTGACTAGCTGAATCATAGTTCTTAACCGTACCAAATAGCAACGTTTGCCCTCTAAATTACCAAGATTTTCGTGACCCTTAACCAGTTCCCGAAGCCCATGCAAAGGGGGGGGGGGGGTGGACGGTCGGCTTCACATCCCCCCACCTCCTCTTTCAAATAGTCCTTGACCCTCCCCTGCCTTTAATTGATCAGCTTTCCCATTGGGTTTTGTAAGAATTCCGGATGGCTGGGCTGCTGGACTGTTCACTATGACTTCAGATAGAAAGTACATTCTAAATAAATAATCAGTTCCATTAAAGTGTTCGCAGTATAAAACACGGAAGTTACCCAATCGTATTCAACGGTGATAACTCCCTCGTGATTTGAATTCTGGGATTATGGAACGCAACATGCGTTTTGTTTGATAATTAGTTCATAGTGCATCACAAGGTAATATAAATGTCTAAAGCATCTTCCGATTATTCGTTCAATCGAAGGGCTTCTTAATGGACCACTAGGTTTGACGAATGTGGTGGGAATACCAACACGTCTTCTAAATTTCTAGAAGGCGTTTTTCATGTCGTGTTGTATTATGCAATTCCCTCTTCAATCGCGGAAGAAATCAAACAAAATAAACTTCTCACGAAGAGAATCTTTCAGACTTAGACTGAGAGTTCTAGCTACGAGTATAGCTCATCTCTCAGTGTTCCCAAGAGTTCAGCATATACTTCACTTCAACTCGGATACAAAGGGACACATTTAATACTCGTTTATACCATGGAGAAGTTTTCGACTTCTAAATTTCTATAAATGACATTACGAATTAACGTCCCCAATCCCCATCATTCTCCATTACGGGGGTGCCTCCGAATGAGAAAAAACGGGCTTATATTTCGCAATTCTTTCAATGGCTTTGGATAATGTGTATCTTAAAGCTTAAGCGAAAAATGCTGGAACTACCAGGTGATTTAAATGGCGGTTATGTTAATTAAGGCCTATTGCTCACTGTGCGTTAGGAATAGGCAAATAATTTTGCTCACCTCTAAACGTCTGACACTTGCAATTTGTGTGAAATCTTCAATCTGGTCTTCATTTTCAGGAATAACAGAAATCACTTTATAGCTGAGAAAAGTAAAATAAATTGACAAGTGTGAGATATTTGTGGCATTAAGAATAAAATAAGTCATTTTACGATGCCTGAATTTATGTTCTTTTATAAAAAGGAAAAGGTAGGGCTGCCATCTCTGCTATTTTTCATCGTTATCAATTTGTTTTCGTGTGTATTGAATCTCTATCTCTAAAATGCCAACCCTTTGAAGTACACACATAGAGCTCCATAATGGAATGTATTATCCATATGTACTCTTTGGATGCCATAATGCACCTCACTAATGCTATAACGCAAATATCATTGCTCTCATATCATTCTTCTTTCCAAAGTGACTATGGTTCAACATAATTTCCATAACATGTCAACAATAGTATAAATATCGACTGAAAGGAAATAAGAGTACTGGATTCCAATTTTTTTCTGAAACCCAACTTGCGCCAAGCCCAATCGAACATGAAAGTAAACACATTTATTCATTTGTAAGGAATATCCTACTATCATACAAAGAGACAAAGTGACGGACAAATATATGCGAGTATACACATGCGCCCTACCCCTTCCTCAAAAAAAGAAAAAGTAAGTAGAAAATGCATATTTATATCTGCACATAATATGAGTATGGCTGTTGCCGCACGACGTCATTTCGACGACAATCTGCCTTGTTGACGGTGATGACGTTATGTAATTNCCCCCACACACACACACACTAATTAATTCCCAATCAACCGAGTGGAACAAGATTTTAAATAATTCAAATGTTATCCTAAAAAACTTAAATGCATTAAATACATCTTTTACTCAATTAGTATTTATCATATATGTTTACTTTTCACGCCATGAGTTTTACGACTTCCTGTTACCCAGAGTTAATTTCATTTATATTACGCCTCTCAGTGTTGTGAACTCTCATATGGCAGGCCACGAGTAGTATAATTAAGCACATCTAAAGAGACATTAGTCATTTTTACCATGTGAGAGTATTTCGTCTCAGTCATCTGTTAACTTATTACAGCAAATTGTGATTATTACCCGTATCACACGGATAGGTCATACCACATATACACGAGTGTGAATTTATGTCCATGTGAACGCGTATGTATGTGTATTTATATGTGCGATACACCCGATTGCCATAGACACAATCGGTCTACGTGGATCGGCCCAACTCTGCGGGGACTCTCGCTGAGTCCAATCAGCTTAACGTGTGTCCGTTTGCGAGAGAGAGAGAGAGAGAGAGAGAGAGAGAGAGAGAGGTACAGTTTTTAAAAATAAAACTCGTAATACATAAAATCTCAGCCGCCTGAACCACGACCTTTTCTCGTTTGTATAACGTAGCTGACATCTTGGTTTAATGTGACAACACCACCATCAGCAGCCATAAAGCTTCAATAATCAAGGATTTAATGCATCCGCAAAGACCCGCATATTGATTGACTGAATTTTTCATAGCTTTCAAGACAGCGTGCTTTAACAATTTTTATATCAGGACCAATTAGGCATCGTGTAAGAATCTACATTCACATAATAGGGACCATTCAGAATTGAAGATCTGAGTATCAACTGGTCCAAGTCTCTCCGCCTCTTACACGCCTCCCCACGCGTCGTCCCTGCTGGGGCACAGTAATTAAAACTCGGCTCCATTCAAGCAGACGCGTTGGGAGGCGTGTTAGAGGCGAAGATACCATTATAGGATTAAGCGGTCTTCCTTTCATGTAGGGTCCGCCATATTTGAGCCTTGGACCCGTTGATACTCGGATATACTGAATGGCCCCTTAGTCGTATCCAAAATAAAACCCGGTAAGGTATTAATGATACCATTTAAAATTAATTACAGTGTAGCACTTTATATTGTCAATTGAGGACAGCCTGTACCCTATTTCCGGAAGGTCGTGAAGCCTTGTTCTGGCCATGTGAGTACCTTCAAGGGCATTTACAGTGTAGGGATTGCCGGCATACAGATGGCATTCGTCCCATTAATAACACCAATACTTCAACTAACCAAAACCTGTACTTATCACATTGAAGCCCCGACTTCCATTCCTGTTACACCGGCATACAGTACACGTTTCTACCGCATGTCGTAAACGCATCCTCTTCAAAGGCATGCATCCATCTGCGCACTGCGTTCGATGTCAACGCTATTAAGAACCTGTCACCATCAACTTGCGAACACACACTTTTTCAATGTTACTGAATAATTGCAGCATCCTAAATCGATAGTGACACTTAGAAAAGAAAAAGAAGTTTCCCAATTTGTCATAAATATTTATTGATAGGATGAATCAGTTAAAACAGAGTGTAACATAAAATGTAGCTGCATGATTCAGTTTCTCTTCGGTTGGATTTCTTCATATGTATAGTGTATATGCGGTGTTGAAACAGCCAGCGGCTTCCTTTCCAAATTAGATTGATCATGCTTAGTCTGCATCAGAACACTTTCAACTTCACTCAAATGTTTGTTCTTATCTAATGTACATTTATCTGGTGGCGACACCCTTTTTTCTGGTTGGGTGAAAAAATTGCTTGATTTTTGGTTTGACATATGTCGGCGATTGAGTTCTATGATTACGAGAAGACTTACTGCCATAGAACCGTACGATGTCCCCAAGATGAAAAATAGCAGAGAGTACTCTTGATGAAAATCCACTATGAGCCCTAGAAATAAAGTAATGGCAGGTGTTTTAATTCATGCTACATAATGATAAAATATCGAATAATAAGGAGTATCGTTTTATGAAATAACTTAAATATATATTTATATATGGTATAGAAATTAGGTTACATTCGAGTTGGTTTTCTTCAAGAGTAGTAGTAAAAAAGATTTTAAATAGTTTGTGTCGCATTTTGTATCGTGAACACGGTGTACAAATACAGAAGGGAAGAACTGTAACATAATGGTCAGACATATAACAAATTGCGTTTTAACAGAATTATCCCAGAATTATGGTGTAAATATCTGTACATTACCAGGTAACAAACTCCCTGTGGTACGCCCAAGACCCCAGCTGACGAGAAGCAATATGAAGAACGTGTGGACACTCTCTCCGCCGAGGACTTCATTGCATGCAGCGTACCAACCGGCTACAATAGGCCCCTGACCAGCACCTACAACTGTAGATTATAACCTAATGTTTTAGTTATGGGAAATTATCCTGGACGTGTGTGTGTTTGTGTGTTTGTGTGCGATTGTGTGCACGTTCGTGACTTTTGTGTTTTTGTGTGTGTTTGTGTTTGTGTCTACATTTGTGTGTGTGATTGCGAGTGTGTGTGTGTTGATGTGTGTGTAATCCATTCCATAATACCGAATTCCCGAGCAAGTTTTTATGAGCTTCAGTACATAGACAAAATCTCAATGACGTAAAATTTTAATTAGTTAAAACTGTGGTTTTGAAAACCGTTCCCCCTGGCATGCCCCTGCTCAACTAGAAAATAGACTCAAATATCACTGGGAACTGTGGCAGAATAGTGCTAGCTAGTATATCAACAGCGAAACAATATTTTCTTTGAATATCTGATCTTCTCAAAAATTTTGGCTGTGACCCTGGTACATGTAAAGAATATAGATCGCGGGCCAAACCTGCCTCAACCTCTTCATGGTTACAGGAAGAGAAAATAAATTAATTCGTAACTAAGGATCCTGGTTATCATACCTGCTCCAAACATAATCACAGCGACTGGAACTTTGGCAAATGGTAAAAGCAGATGAGCTAACGATAGCAGTGCTGTGCAGACGACATACATGTGCAGAAAGTACCCCTTGATGTGGTCCCCGAAGAATGACGTAATAGCACGTGATAGGCACGCGGTTATTCCTTCTGCCGTGAGAGGGTGGGTGGCTGTAAGGGAATCATAGCCCATGTCCTCGCCATACTTAACCTACGTAAACACAAGGACATGGTAAATTGGTTACGTTCAAACACTGTTGAGAGAGAGAGAGAGAGAATTTATTTAAGTCCTATTACAGATATTTCCTCTTTTTCTTAGTGCCAAACTCTAAATATATTTATACAGTTGTGGTACGGCCTTAAGTGACTTTAGCCAAATAAAAGATACATTAACGTACTCCTGTTCTTTTATATTTTTTAACTTTATAAAAAAAAAATCGTTCAATCACACACCAAAATTTTATGCACTGAATGAGGAATAGGCCTAAATGGAAGCAAATCGGCAAACAGAATTCTTCAGCAGTAGTTTATGTGAATGAGGGCGGTCCACGGACTAAAGCACACACTTGCGGAGTGTAGTCGTCACTTACCATGATAGTGTAGAAGGCGGTCAGGCCCAATGCTTTGCCAAAGGAAATCCACATCCACAGAACTACGATGACAGTTTTAGACATCACGCTCCACGATGCATCACTACATTGGGTTTTCTTAGGCTTTGTGTTCTGCGATTCGCAGGGCTTAGGGTGGCGTAAAATAGGCACAAGGATTCCACATGTACACGACCCGTAGGTGATGAGAAATAAGAAGTTATATCTCCAGCCAAAGGAATCATTTATCCACCTGAAAATGTTCACAAAAACCACGCTTCCTGAAAATGTAAAGACAAAGCATTCGGATCTTTTGGCTATGGATGCCCAGATGTATCGATGACTGTCTTTATTTATTGTTTATTATTTGATTTCATTAATTTGATCCCTTCTTTTTCATTTCGAATACTTTTCATAATGCATTAATATCGCAAAATGGTCAATGGGAGTTTTAACAGAAGGTTTTACGATTGTTAACTACCGACTGTTTAAATATGTTTGAGTTAAAGTCACAGTCGTATAAAAGATGTAATACAACTATTTACACTATAATTTACACTTGATAACATTTTCGACATAAGTATTGATAATTAACAGTAGGCCTATGCTAGATATGCAATAGCATATGGAGTCACAATACTTACCTAGAGGGTTAACCAAGTACCGAACGCTTGTTGCCAACACGTGAAAACGATGTTCCCATGGAAACCAATCTGCTAAAAGAAACGTGATTGGTGTCAAAGCTAGACATGCTCCAAAACCAACCAGCATTCCCCGTGATAGCGTTAGAAATGTAACGCTCGGAGCAATAGAGCTTATAGCCAGACCTAGGAGAGATATTGCTACTCCAGTCAGGAACGTCGACTTGATGCCAAGAACTTGCCATACCATCTTTGCAAACGGACTTGGTACGAACACAAAGAACACGTACACAGATTCTACGAAACCTGAAAATAATGCCATGCACGACTGAATATGTAAACAAAGGCCCCATTCAGAATATGGGACTAACTTGTCCGAGGGTCAAATATGGTAACCCTCTTCCAAAGCTTGCCGTCTAATCCGCTAATAGACACTAATAGACTTTACTAAATAAAGTTTTAACGCACATTGTACATGTAATACATTAAAAAATGTTTCATCTCCTAGGACTACAGCCCGTGAGTTCAGATATTAAGTATTTACACACCGAAAAGGGCTGCAACACAGAAAGAATACAAAATGCACCATTCCAATAGTAAGACACTTCTTGCTTAAAAAATTAACATAGATAAATAAATAATAAATAAATAAGTTAAGGTAACTGTCAGGGTAAGCAAAAACACCTTATATTTACTGCCTTATACATTTTCTTGATAACAGATAAATTTTCAGTGTTCGTTGACTAAATTCCTCAGCATTTACACAAATGACATCATACCGATGACGTCATAACTGCGATTTGGGACTAAAAAAAATTCAACATCAGATTCTCAAATTTTTCCTTGACTTCAGCACCCACGGACACTGTTTCATCGAGAATATAATAACATCACTTAAGCCTGCCAGTGATTTTTCTTAAAAGTCTTAGTTCAGATTTTATCATTTACCTGGTATATGTCAAAATAAACCCTTTGTTCAATGATGCATTGTAATTAGGGGCCCGTAACTCCATGACAAAAACACTTCAACCAAAATGATGGCACAAGATTGACTAACTACACACTTGTCGTCACCTATGCCAATTTCCGCGACAAGTTCTCGTTCAGGGATGGCTTCCGCTCCATACCGATTGCTATCTCACCTCAAATTAGGTGTTAAATTGACGATAAACGCTTTGAGGTGCCTGTGCTTATGCTTAGCAACGAAAAATAAAAACGCCAAAATTTTATGTTTTCGAGAGAATATTTTTGTTTTCAATCAGCACAAAGGTAGATGCATTACTGAATAACTTGATGTGGGGAAAAAGGAAAAAAACACATTATCAGTATCTGGACGATCAAAAACTCTTACAGTATCCTTAGGCAACAAAACAACCATGCACTGTCACTAAAGCAATCATCCCATTGATTTAAATACCTTTGAGCGCCGCAGAGAGAGAGAGAGAGAGAGAGAGAGAGATGCTCGCACTTGTCCTCTTTCTACACACCTACCTAACGCTGTCACCGATGATTTAAGCTCAGAGTCCGGCCGACTCAACACAGCGACAAACTCTGGCCAGGATGCACAACCAGCGAAAAATAGGGTCACAGGAATTACAGCAGCGATGGTCTTCCAGCCATAGTACACCATTCTTCCTCTTTTTCCACCCACTTGAAACTGAAGAATAATTTAGATATGATTAAGATCGCCCCGGGTCAGTCATCACCGGCGTCTGCGGCACCAAATACTGGTAATTCAGAGGGGCGACTCAAGGTGGGGGAGGGGAAGGGGAACTGCATTTTTAATTTTTTGCAACTGTGTGTTAATGATGATCAAAAACGAATCTAAGATTGTACGGAACCATGCATGCAACTTTCTGATCGAATACATGTACCAATACTGTCCGCTACGTAATGCCTTTCTTCGCATTTTAGGTTCTTTTTTCGCCCTTTTCAGTCCTTTTTAGATTGAAGAGATATATGTTAAACGGCTCAAGTGTGTCTTCCTATCTAACCAAGAGATCGTCACGCATATTACCCCGCTGGTTAAGAGGAGAAGTATCTGGGTTATAGATGGGTGGAAGTGGTTGACGAAATTTTACGCTTGTAAGTTTTCGCCTTTTGAAGTGAACAGTCCATTGCAAAATTTCAGGCGTCGTTTGAGAGATTTGCTGATATTCATCCATTTGTGATGTTTTAACCCAGCTTTATAATTATCATTTTGAAAGCTGTCTCTGTGCTTGAAAAAAATTCCAAAGCCGACATCGGTGCTTTTACCTCAAAATACTGAAACAACGTGAAATGAAATACATATAATATAATATATATAATAAGATGCATGAAATACAAAACACCTTGTCATACAAAAAATATCCAAACTCTGACAGAGTTGAAGATGAGATGAGCCTCTTTCTTGAATGCAGCAAGCATTACAGGTAGAGAAAATCACTGTGACTGCCTTAGTAAAATTTATGGAAAAGGCAATGTTAAAACGCAAACCTCTTAACATACTCTTAATGTCAAATAAGTATTTTTAGGAGTCTTATACGTGTATACATGTTTCCTTTTATTTAACATATATTGTACTCTTATATTGTATTCCATTGTCTTTCACTGTAGTAGTTAGAGAGCCTATAAATGTGAAAACATTCCTTTACTCATTATTACTATTATTATTATTATTATTATTAATTAGACTTTTTGTGGAGTATGTTTAATTTTTCAAATAGAAAATTAAATCCATTGCATTATTTCTACCAGTACGGTATTATTCATACCGTATCATACCGTATTATTTGCACCCCTCCCCCCCCCCC